ATTAGAAAATAATTATAGCAAAGTGATTACAATTTATAAAGAATAACTTTAATTATATATAAAATAATCATATCTAATACATACATATACAGACAATAAACAATGAAATACAAGTACCTAAATGCAAATTGTGGAAATATAATTTACTTATATAAATTATGATCATTAAGATTTTAGACCACAACTATGGAAATTACTATGATACGTTAAAATAATGATTGTATTATTTTACATGTAGTTTTGAATAAATATAAAATGATGATATTTACTAGACAATATTCTCATTTTAAAATTTGATAGTAATACTTTCCCTTTAACATCAAAAATAACAGAGTTAAACAGATTATTTGGAACATGCAATTTATTATGTTGTGCATTTTAGAGATGGTGATAATGCATGTGAACTTAGTGCTCTCTAAGTTGAATCAGGCGATGGCTGTTTTATCACAAGTAACATATTACATAGGCTAAGAGTAAAAAGGTTCCAAGTGGTTTTTTTATCAAAATTTACTTTTTCAAATATTCCTTATAAGTTTTCAATGGCACATGTTTTAAGCTAAAAATTAGTTTGACACGAGTTATAATGAATGACGTACACAAAGCAAAATGTTCATATGTCTTTAAACAAATATTAAAAATGCTCACCTGTAAAATAAGAAATTAAGACATAGAAACTTTTTACTCTCATCTCATATCAACAAATGTTAATGATATTGGTCAAATAATTTCAAATTTGTCAAAATGTGATAGATTGGTTCTTTTTGTAACAAACTACAGTTATATTAATAATTTAAAAATAATAAAATGTATAAATGTATAATTTACTTGTTTAACATTGAATTCAAAATGCTTTTTGACATAGCGTAGCGGGATTCATTTTCATTACTGAATTTAATCCACTGCTGTCTTACATAAGTCCATCTTTTTCTGTGCTCCTTAAGTAATTCACTAACAGTAGGGACTTCTTCAATATTCTAAAAAGTGAAACAATTTAATTTAAACATTGGTATTTTTTAGATAGTTATAAGTATATTTCATTAACTAAAAATAAATTAAAATGTATATTATGGAATACAAGTTTATGATAAAAAAATTTTATAGGAAACATCATAAGTCAATATCAAAAAATAAAATTATATAATAAAAAAAAAAAAGAAAATACAAATTATAACAGTATACTTACATTTTTAATATCCATTTTGGTTACAACATCCTTTGGTAAATTTAAAGGTATTCTATGAACWATATCAGTCTCATTTTCAGGTCTGCTTTTAGGAGGTGGTAATTTATACACATAATCTTCGATTGTAGATGACTCATTATCAATTTTAAGATAACGTTCCAAATTTTCAGATTTCTTACTTTTTACTTGTCTAAAATTCAAAAAAATTTTATTTACCTTATAACTTTCAAAATTAAGCATATTTTCTTCACCTTGCTGATAATGGGTCATTTTTCATCCAAGCTCGGCATATAGAATACATTGCTGAATTATTGGTAAAAGAAGCTAAATCAATGCTACGATCTCGTAATTTTAATACCAATGAATCTTTAACTTCTTGCTTGGATTCATTTACCTTAATTCGCTTAGTTGTATCATTTTCTTCCCTAAAAAAAAAGGAAACAGTTATTTCATCAGATGGTGATTATTCTTTGTCTGCTTGAAAGAAAACAGAAATTAGTGTAGCCATTTAGAATTCAAATTAATATATATACTTACACAATTAATACATCATTGTCAGTCACATCATCARCTTTTTTTTGCTCCTTCTTTGCAATAATATCAAGAGCTTCATTTAAACTGTTGCGAGCTTTTTCTAAATGATTACCTCCTAAAATAAAAATTGGTTATAGTTAAATATAATTTTTAATAACTCAGATATAATTATTATAATTACTTATAATTCTTGGTTCTTTCATTGGTGAATCAACAACCTGTGTTGAAGATTTAAGTACACTTTTCCTTTTCTTAACCATGATTTATAATAACTAGTGGCTCTTGACTATAATGAATAAAATAATGAATATGAAATTAAAA